AACCTCTCACAAAAATAACCGAAGCTAATACTTCCAAGTTCATCTAGAAAAACATCATCTGCAGGTTCGGAATTCCCCACTCAATAGTAACAGATAATGGCAAACAATTTGATAACAGGAAGGTCAGAGAAATGTGCGAAGAACTGGGCATCAAGAAGCTTTTCTCTTCCCCACATCATCTACAGTCTAATGGGCAAGTCGAGGCTGTGAACAAAACCATCAAGTACACCCTGAAAAGGAAACTTGGTTCGTCAAAGGGGGCGTGGGTAGAAGAATTGTCCAAGTGCTCTGGGCAATAAGGACCACTAATCGAACAGTAACAGGAGAAACGCCTTTCTCTATGACATACGGAGCAGAGGCTATGAGCCCTGTTGAAGTGGGCCTTCCATCACCAAGACAAATACACTATAGCGAAGAAACCAATAATGAGGCAAGATACTTCGGTTTAGATTTCCTTGAAGAAAGGAGGGATGAATCTCAGGCCAAGATGGCCATACACCAATGAAAAATGGCCAGATATTACAACTCCAAAATAAAGAGGAAGACATTCAGGTTGAACGAATTGGTGCTTCGAAGGGTCTTCCCACCTTCGAAGGAATACGGGACAGGGACCCTTGGCCCAAACTGGGAAGGTCCATACTACATATCTGAGGAAGTTCGACCAGGAACATATAAGGTACAACCTCATCCTTGGAAAATGGAGCACTTGCGCAGGTACTACCAGTGATGTAAAACATCTTGTATAAATCGTTTGTTTTGTATGAATGGAAAGGCTAAGAGCCTTGGATTGTGTAATCTTATCTTAAAGGCTAAGAGCCTCGTATTATCGAACTATTATCTCAAAGGCTAAGAGCCATAAATCGGTTGAATATTATCTCAAGAGGCTAAGAGCCTCGGAATGTATAAACTTATCTCAAAGGCGAGGAGCCTCGAATTGTATAAACTTGTCTCAAAAGGCTATGAGCCTCGAGTTATTTAAAAATTGTCTCAAGAGGCTAAGAGCCTCGAATTATTTAAAAGTTGTCTGAAGGGCTAAGAACCTTGAATTGTTTAAATGTTATCTCAAAGGCTAAGAGCCTTGAATAATATAAATATTTCTGAAATGCTAGGAGCTTCGAATTATTTAAATATTATCTCAGGAGGATAAGAACCTCGAATTGCGTAAATTTTATATCAAAAGCTAAAAGCCCTGTAGGCTGAAAGCTTTAGTTTGTTTAAGTCACTACAATGCTAGACATTCAGACGCCATCAGGTTGGCCACTCGTTTAGGTTAGCTATTAAACGTGAGTAACATAACAAAAGTGGGGGGATGGCAAAAGTAAAAAAAAAAAAACAAAGGAAATTCGAAATTTCATTAGAAAAAAGCGAATTACATTTGCAGAAGGCCGAGGCCATTACACTTGGAAAATAAAAACGCATTTACTGGGGTGGAGGCTTAGGATCTACAAAAGGGACGATGGCATCATGAGCCACTTCTGGTATGTCCTCATCAAGTTCGATAACTGGAGGCTCCTCTGCTGGGGTTGGAGGCTCAGATCCTTCCTGATCTTCTTCGAGGAATTCAGCCCTGAGTTCGGAGGTATCATGTGTCGTGTGCACTTCGATCCACTCAATCAGCTC